CGACAACGGACCGCCGAGGGAGCAAATCACTGAATGAATGAGCAAGAATCGAAATGCACTAATCAGAGCTGTTGAAAAACAACTAATCACAGCAGAGCATCATGCTTTATAAGACCACGCACGACCAGTCGACCTATCGCCAGAAAAAGACTAGCAGTATGCAGTCGAAACGTTGCGATCTACATCACACGTGACTACGTTGTGAGACAAACGAAAAACTTAGCTTTTATTGCTATTCACCACGACGAATAATCACAACCTTTACACAATACAAAGGTTTTCTACATTCTACCAATGTAATGTGAATACCTAACCCTATCAGGAAACCTAAGTAACCAAAGGAGGGAAGAAAAGAGGGGGTGTGGGGGTTGGAGGTGGGAGGTGAATGAGATAAAAAAACACTTCATCTTCCATACTGTTAAAGGCGACTGATACCTCTCCCTTCCACCTTAAGAGCATGCGATCCCTCTCCCCCTCCCCGAAAAAAAATGTTTGAAAGAGTGTTGCGTTTCTAAAGACAGCAATAGCTGCAGAGACGCTCAACTCCATGTATTTAAAAAATATTTTTATCAAGAATTTGATCAAACCCTAACCCAAACTCAAAGGCTACACGAAGCGGAAAAATACTTTTAATGAATAAAGAGGATAAGTTTCTAACGAAACTGTGTTGCTGCGCCGGTGGGAGAGAATGACAGCCATAGATACCTAAATTGGACCCACCTACGCCAGTCGTTTCGTAAGTTTTATCGAACACCAATTTTTCAGTCAATACATCGGCCCCAAACCTGAACTCTACGGTCGCTACATAAACCACTGTATTGGCGCCACCTCCTCTACCAGAGATGAGCTGACCCAATTAATAAACGTTATTAATTTCTTTCGCCCGGCCCTGAAATATACCTGGGAAATTTCTGACACTTCTTTGGCTTTTAATTTCTAACCATCAAACTTTCAATTGAAGGCAACGATCTAACTAGCAGGGTTTACTTTAAAGCTACGGACTCACATAGTTGCTTGTTGTATTTATCTTCGCGTCCATTACATGTCAAGAATTCCATTCCTTTTTCGCAGTTTCTCAGACTTCGTCGTTTGTCTTGTGACGACTGTGATTTTCCGACATATCAGAGGCAATGTGCCAGTTTTTCGTTAAACGTGGCTTCGAAACAGAGAAAGACTGGGACGAGGGTATGAAATGTCTGAAGAATCACAGTCGTCACTACACAGACCTCTTAAGTTTCTTAAAGGGAGTTATTATCTAACAGTCCAGTCTGTTAATCTTTTGCAGTATGTCTCAGATTTCGCACTAAGCTTTTTAGAGCATGTCAGTTAACTTAAACTAATCTTAGTTCGACACAGAAATCTATGAAAGAGAAGTGTGATGTAGATGCTGAAGAACTTAACTCAGGCGAAAAGGTTCATACGTTGTTTCCGGTGCCCAGTAACAAGCTTCATTCTAGATTTTTTGGACCTTATATCATTGAGAAGTTAAATGACCTTAATTATATAATGGTCACTCCGGATGGGCGTAAATAGGCACAGTTATGTCACATTCATATGTTACAGCCTTATGCAGAGAGAAGTGATAATCTAGATGAATGAGCCTGCACAGTTTAATGTACTTTTTTCTGAGACCTGGTTTCTGAGAACATTTTGTTTCCGAGAAAATTTAGTAGTGAGCTAAATAGTAGTCATCTCCAATGTGCTGCGGAACTTGGACTCTAAATTTTCACACCTGGAGAAGATTCAATCCAGGCCCTGGAGAAGCTACTGCACGAGTGTAAAGACCTGTTTCCTGATTTCCCCTTCAGGACAGATCAGATCTGCCATGATGTGGATGTCGGTGATGCTGCTCCTTTAAAACAACTCCCGTCAAGGCTAAATCCAAGTAAGCAATAATACCTCAAGGAAAATGTATAGGATGTGCTCGAGAACGACTTCATTGAACTGAGTAGTAGTAGTTAGAGTTAGCATACTTTTTCTCAAGCCAAATGAAGGCTAACCGATTTTTACAGATTATAGAAAAGTAAACAGCGTGTCTAAGGCAGACACTTTTTCTATCCCAGGAATGTACGACTTTATCGACAAAGTTGGAAAAGCCAAATATGTAACGAAATTCTACCTTCTTAAAGGATTCTGGCAAGTTCCATTGAAAGACCGCGCTAAGGAGATTTCAGCCTCTGTAACACCACAAGGGATATACCAATACAAAGTCATGCCCCTTGGTATGAAAGATTGAACTGCTACTTTTCAGCTCCTTATCGACAAAGTCATCCCAGATGTCAAGGATTGCGAAGCATACACAGATGATGTGATTATCTACAATGACACGTGGGAATAATCTCTCCAAAAGTGAGTTTGGCCGAGCACAAGTCACTTATTTGGGGCATGTCCTTGGACAAGGTCAAGTAAAACCAGTTTGTGCCAAGTTGGAAGCGATAGCTCACTGTCCACGACCAGAGAACAAGGAAGGACTCATGCGTTTTCTTGGTATGGCTGGCTATTACAGAAGGTTTTGCTCTAATTTCGCCACTGTTGCAGAACTATTGACGCAATTGCTCAGTAAGAAGGTAAAATTTATTTGGAATGAACGATGAGAAAACGCATTCAAGGAGAGTTATGTCACAGAGTGCCCCTGTATTGACAGCGCCTGATTTCAGCTCCCCGTTAAAGTTGATTGTTGTTGCAAGTGATGTCGCAGTTGGTGCCATGTTGTCACAAGAGGATGATGAAGGTGTGTAACATCCAGTTTGTTTTTATTATTCTAAAAATAGACTGTAGCGGGCCTATGTAAATTTATTGGGGAGAATTACTGTACTGTCTATCAGAGTCGCTCCCATATAAGAGTATTAATCGTCACTTAATAAAGTAGTAAAATTTATAGAACTATAGTTTTGTTTCTGTCGTTAAGATTAGACCGTAACTACAAAAAAGTATCTTTCGAATCGGCAATCTTAATACCCACGGTATCAACGAGCGCTTCTCATTCAACCAGTCTAAATTGGCCACCGTGAATAGTTTCAAAGCGGACGTTTGGAGCGTTAGGCCTTCGTCAGAGCGAATGGAGGAATGACGTGGCCAAAACTACGAAGTCGACTCCATCTACTCTCCTTTTCCGACTAACGCACAAGCTAGTGTAGAACGTTTCCTCTATCAGTGGTGACAATAAATCCATGACTCTCTCCTCCTCCCATTAAGAAATTTTAAAAAAAGTTTTCTTTTGAGTCAGTGCTAGATGGTGGAATGAGATACGAAGGAGGAGATTTCACCTTGAAAAAGAAGAGTTATATTCTCTTTTGAAGAGAGTTTCTGGTCAAGCTTTGATTGGTTTGGGGTTGTTCATCATTCTGACAGACTGAGGGATCTTGTTGGTTTCTGTTGTTGAGCAGCCAGTTCAAGCTAAAACAAATTGGTCAGGTGAAGAGCTTCCATTTATAATGTTGATCCATGCTTTGTTGTTGTTTTGTATTTTACGACAATTCAGTAAAAATGTAAGCAGTATATTTGCTTGAAACCATCAACGGCTCTAAAATCTATTGAAGGGCTAGTCTTCTGAACAGTCTATTCTCCGCCTGCTTTAGTTGTTAATGAACAAAATGTAACTAATTTTTTATCATCTTGTCGTATCCACCCCACTTGATGTTCAGGCCCCAGCTGTTGAAAGGGCGGATAAGTGCTAACAAAACGTGCTGCGCTATACACTGGATAGAGATTTATTCAGCGGAGAGCGTTTTTCAACCGTCGAACAACCGGAGCCGGATCTTTTCACAAGAAAATCCTGTTTTTGTTGTTCTTATTTCTGTTTTCTTTCAATTTTTCTCTTTATCTATTCATTCGTAAACTTATTTTTAAAGGGAGATAAAAAATATGCGATTGATATTTCCTTGGCATTAAGTAAGATTCTCACAAGTATTTAAGGCCAAAAACGGTTACTTTGTAATTCTAATCAGCGAGGCGTTTTTTTCAAATTTGATGTAGTCTAATATTAGACTTAAGAACAAGGTCTGACCGAAAAAATGCAGTTTAGAACAGTAAGAATTGCAAAGAATGTGTTGATTATTTGATTTTCGTTAGAACTCGGCGCTGATGAAACATATTATCATTTTTTGTTCCGTAGATAGATACACATGGAATGAGATTATTTTTTCCTCCCAGTCAGGTAGGGAGTAATTTAGTGGGTCGAGTTGGATTAAGCAATTAGTTATAAATAGTACACGCGTGACTGAATAACGTCAGCAATAACTTTGCAAGATAATAAAGTTCGGACATATCGCGGATTAACGCAGACTATTTTCCCGGACTCTCTCTAGCTTTCCTTCGTTAATTGACACACAAGTCTTACATGACCTGTAAAACGAATATGGAAACTCAGCTCTTAGCTTTAATTGATACAGAAGCTCGTCTCGGTAACAGCGCAATTTACATGAAGGTAGAAAGTGAAATTTCGGCACAAACGAGCTGGCACGTAGTAACAGAAAAACCAAACAAAGGTTTGTAAGCATGCCAAGCGTGGTAATTGACGAAATTATAACGTGAGCTGAGACAAAAATCACCAAAGAGAAAAAGAAATGGACGCTCGGTAGACTATTTTTTAAGTACATACAGTAATCATAGCAAAACTCAAACACAGCTAACACCGGTATAGTAGATATAGCTTCGTGTTCAAAACACAACAGAAAAAACGGGAATGATGATTTTTGGAAATAGAAAGTAATGCGAGGGTGACAATGCCATGCATATGATTTTATAACACCAAATTATAATTGTTGATTAAATAGTCTTTCGATTTGGTAGCCTTGGCATGAAACAGTAGTTTCAGAAATGTGTAAGGTTCATTTCATCCTTTCTTTCATCCAATTCTTTCTCGCAATTGTTGTTATCGTTCCTACGGCAGGTAAGACTTGTCGTCGTAAATTTGTGTGCGGTTTGTGTTTAAGATAGGATCCATCAAAACCATGACAGTGGAGAAATGGCGGAAGTTGATGCCCGGAATAAGCACTATGCCAAAATAATGCTAAAGGGTGACAGTCCCGTGAAAACGCATTTTCTCATCCTAAATCCTCTCCCAGTCAAAAGTAGATCCAAAAGTAGGTCTAAGAAACGTTTTGTTCAACACTCAATTTCACTTTCAGTTCGAGTTTACTTCAATGTACTTTAACTTCAGTGTGACCGCTGAAGTTAAGTTTGCGATCGGGTCATAACTTTTTTCATATAGTTTCAAAACACAAAGCAATAGCTCTGTCTCTTGATAAAACATATGCGTCAATATTCTGTTGGATGAATTGAATACATTTTTACTTTTCGCTTAGTCACAATGCGTAACCCTTGTAACCTTTGAAAGTAGGGTCACATTGCCTATTCAAGAATCATTACCTACAAAACGTTTCCTTTATTTAGTTCATGAAAAGAAGTACTCGCACGCAAAACTCTCTGTCATGTGCAAGCGTCTATTAAGATTCAAGTATCTAGTAATTGCTGCAGCGATAACTCCTGTGACAGGAAAATAAAATATTTTTGCTCGTTGAAAAACTTTCTTAGGATCGATTGTGCTTGAGTCGCTGAGTTTACCAGAGATAGATCAAAAAGACCATGTAGAAATCTATGTGACAGAGAGCGTTGTTTTATTTTCATCATACCATTGTTAGACCTAGCAAACAATAAAGGAAACTGAAGTCATAAATCTGTTTTGGTCTCAATTAAGGATTTACCCTTTTTGTTGCGTTATAACGAATTGCTGATTACTACATCGGTTTCTTTATAAAGATATAGTATGTGTTTATATTTCATAGAATGCTTACTTATATCAAACTCATCGTAGACGAAGATTCAGCAAGGTTTATTATGATTAGGTTTATTGTTAGGTAATAATCACTTTGGTCGGTGTCAGCATCTGAGATTACAATACCAGTGGGCAAAACATGCAAATATAGACTTGAATAATAAACATATATGGATAACACTCAGTTTCAGAGGAGATGAACAAAAGAGTTCCTGTAAAAGTCATTCTTACTTTAAATTACCTTTTTGCCCCGGTTTAGCTATTGATAGTTGCTATGGTATGTTTTCTCTTTTTTCTAGAAAGATAACTTAAAAGGTGATGATGATGATAATGATGGAGACGAAAACAACCTTAATAATAATCATATCTATTTGAATCACGAGACCCTTTTAATCGCCCAAATAAGTTTAAAAGAAGGAGCTCATAATGCTTAGAGACAAATTTTACATTTCTCCCACATTTGAGTTCAAACTTCCGGTATCGTGAATCATTCCTCAAACTGATTTCAATGATTGAGTGATCCTTGTGAATAGGTATGACGAGGTTAATCAGTAATAGCGGCCAATATCTTATGATTCCTTACTGGAATAATTCTGCCTTAATTCGTTTGTTTCTTAAACTAGATGCCATTGTCAAGTTTACGATGACGCCTTCTAATCCAGATTACATTAATAATGGAAGCGCTGCCAGACTAGTGTGGGACTACAGTGACCCAAATAATGAAATCTTTGCCACTATTTTCAGCGCTCTGGTGGATGGTAAAAAAGGGAAAGAATTTAAACGAATGCTGGTTAAAAGGAATGGTGTTGTCCAGAATCATCCAGATATGCCTTCTGCTTACAAGGGGAGAGTCAGCATGGAAGCAACTGCCACCCTAGTCATCGAGAAAGTAACTCCCAGAGACAACACCCAATATAGATGCAAATTATTTCATGGTATCACTAATCCAGAAAGTAAAATTCAGCTTCTTGTGACAGGTATGTGTTGAAAAATGACATTTGTTGTACTAGATTGCTAACACATCTTTTTCTAACATAGTTAAACACACGTCAATCGAAATGCACGTTCTTAAGTACCGTTCGGTCTGGTCGGCAAGTGCACTTGTAATGTATATATACATGACGTGAAACGTGTGCACATGGACATTGATGATATGCAACACAAGTAGAAATTTGTTTGCATAAAGGATGTTGTAGATGGAAAGTGAATGTCTTATAAGATCAACATCTTCAACGAAGTTATGGCTAGAGAAAGAAACATTTACGGCTCAATTGATTTCGGAATTCCACAAGTCGATTTCATTAATACGCTTTAATCAAATGTCCTGAAATATGAACAAAAAACACAATGGAAAAAAAGCATGAAATCGATGTTGAATATATTCTAACGGCGGTGCAATAGATGCAGTTCATGCCAATAAATGAGGAAAAAACTATTTGCAGGAATTCCATGCAAAATTAAAGCGTGTTCTTTTTTAGCCCTTTTTTTTTTTTATTAAAAAACCAGCAAGTCAAATCGCAGCAGTGTTTTTGGGAAATCATTAGAGTAGGAAATTGCAATTTGTTTTCTTCTTGATGTGTCGTTAAAAAATCTTTATGGTTATTCATGAAAATAAATAGTGCCGAAAATTAATTTTTATCCGTAGTAATATGTACCCATCTCTGTAATTTTTATGAAGTTTGGATCGCATCTTTTTGTTGTGTCACTGAAGCAAAGAAGCGAACTAGAATGTCTCAATTACAATTTACATTTAGTGATTGTTTAAAAGACCATAGAATGATTGCAAAACTGCATTTAGAAGTACATAGAGTAGCAGACGACGAAGCCATAAAATACTTTCTCCTTGAATTTGTTTTGATGTAAAAAAGCTGACGAATGTTAAGGATAATCGCCTTATACGTAAGAGGAACACTTTTTTACTAATGCTGATTACTATATTGTTTTGCTCTGCAGAAGATGATCAACATGACAATGTACGACAAGCAGTTGTATGCAAACGTCGAGGATTTAACAGTGCAGTTAGATACACGTCCACAGTATGTGACTGGCTAACATTTTGCACACCTCGCCCAAACAAGTTTCAGCGATTAATCATCTTTTCCTTACACGCTTACTTGGTAGAAATAGGCATGTTATGTTACGCAGTTAGGCTGGAACGTTGTAATTCAATTGACTTTATGTTCTTAAACGCTGAAACGCTTTTATAAGTTTTACAGATAAAGTATACTCTCATTTTCTCTTTAACATATTAAGCACTTACACATATGCTCGACACAAGCGTTCGAGTTCAGTTTATTTTCTGGCTCAATTCTGAAAGGCAGGACAGCGCGGAAAAAAATCAAATTTACAAGATTGATGAGATCTCGCTCTGAGTGCCATAACTGTGTACAATTTTAATAAATTGCTAAAAAAATTTTGCCGCAAAACCCGCTTGTTTGCAGGAAAGCTAATCGTGCGCATAAATTGCATTCCCTAAGACCGTCTTTACTTGCGATACCAACTCGAAATACTTTTACACTGAAAGTATAACTAAAATTAACGGTATTCTAATCAAAGTATGCTTGGCACATTACTTCTGCAAGAAAGTATGTTATTTAGCCCAAAAGCCCGATAGTTTTCACGTACCATATACTATTACTCAACGAAACTGGTCCTAGGTTCGTGTTCAAGCCTCTTTTTCTTGGATACGTTGTTAATGTAATAACTCTAATTTTTTTTCATAATAAAAGTGTTGAAAAGTTTGGAGTTGACTCTATCTGCCTGATGATGCCGTACACAAGTTTACATCTTTTACTCCAAGACATTGATCTATTATATCTTAACCCATCTCTCTAGTTCTCTTTTCCGAAGGACAGACAAAACCAAACCGGAAGTTCAAAAAATCGCTTTTTTACATGATTCAAGAGACCGCGTTCTCCTGTAACTCTCAGTAGAGGTTAAGAGTTGATCAATCCTACATAATTATAATCTAAGTTACCTTTTAGTCAAAACCCTTCTTTCCTCAACTGATGTGAACAATTGCACTAGAAACAGTAGTTCATATGAAAACAACGCTCTTTCATTCTGGAGCAGCGGTTGCTTGAGAAATGGTCAAAAATGATGTAAGAGGAGGGTCAAAGGGGGGGAATCCACTGAAATTTTTATTTACATTTTTTTTAAGGTTTTTCCTGACAATTCTGTAGATGTTGAACTTTGTCAAACGCTAGGTGTGGTAGGACTAAAAGAGAGTACAGTCTAAGATTTAAAGTTTTTGGAAGAGCAGAAATGGTGGTTGCCGGGAAAAATGAGTAAATTTCTTTAAGAGGATATAATAGATGACAGTGTTTACCATGTTTTACTCACATAGTTACTTGTTATATTCATATTCGCATCCATTAAACGTCAAGAATTCCATTCCTTTTTCGCAGTTTCTCAGACTTCGTCGTTTATGTAGTTACGAACCTAATTTTTCCGACGAATTAGAGGCAATGAAAGACTGGGAGGAGGGTATCCATCTTCTGCTGTTTGCTACACGCACACTGTGAGAGGACCTCTTAGGTTACTTTAAAATAATTTTTTATCTAGCTAGTGCTGTATGTTAATCTTTTGCAGTACGTCTCAGATTTCGCACTAAGCCTTTTAGAGCATGTGAGTTAGCTAAAGCTAATCTGAGTTCGACAAAGAAATATACGTCGGTATAATTTGTTGTACTGGATTACTAATATTTTTTCTCACAGTGTTAAACACTCGTAAATCGAGATGCACGTTCCGCAGTGCCGTTCTATCTGGTCGGCAAGTGCACATGTAGTGACGTGTATACACGACCTGAAACGTGTACGCATGGACATTGATGATGAGCAACACAAGTAGAAATGTGTTTCCGTAAAGGATGTTGTACATGGAAAAAGTATGTCTTAATGTAAACAACATTTTCAATGAAATTATCGCCAGAGAAAGAAACATTTATGACTGACTTGATTTCGGGATGCATCAAGTCGTTGTCATTAATGAGCTTTAATCAAATGTCCTGAAATATGAACAAAAAAAAACATACTGGAAAAATAATGAAAAGCTATAATGAACATATTCTCACGGCGGAGCAATAGATGGCAATGGATCAGAAAAAGAATATTTGGCGGAATTTCATGCAAAATTAAAGCTCGTTCCTTTTTAGTCCTTTTTTTTAGTTAAAAACCCATCAGGCCAAATTAAAGTGGTGTTTCGGAAAAGTCAGCAGAGCAGGAAATTGCAATTTGTTTTCTTCTTGAAGCGCCTTTAAAAAATGTTTATATTTATTCATAATGTTCCACAGCCTGATTTTTTTAACTCGTGAATTGCGCGCATGCGCAAGAGCGAGTTGTAGATACGATGTGTGGAATGGCACTCGCTCTCCCGCTCGCTCGTTCGATTGGTCGATTCCTGTAAAAATTTTTTTCGATTTTAGGCTTTTGAGTGCATTTGATAGTTTTTAGCGAGCAATAAACAAACGAAATGGCGACCTTTGTTGTTAAGAATAGTGGTGGGGTGAAAAAGAAGCCAATGATAATCTTAAAAGAGTTTTTTTTTTCGTTTTAGTTTCAACAAGCGGCGCCAGCGACTGGTAGGCATGCAATGATTCACACTGAAATAACAGAACAACCTTCGTTTTTCATAAAATTGTAATTTACAATCCTTGAACTTGAAAACAATCCGAAGATTCATTGAAAATATCACTTACTGCGAAGTGCTCGGAGTTTACAGATGTTCAAAAGCTTTTTCTGTTATGGCGTGAGATTGAGGACAAAATTGATCATTACGTTTCGTATCGTGTGTTTTTCCTGTGTGAAGTAACAGAAAATGCCGGCGACTAACGAAATTACAAGTTAACACGAAAATCAAATAACACCTAAACGAACAATTGTAACTACCGATTTTCAGTGAACTTTTAAAGAACAATTTTCTTTTAAGTTTCAAGACAATTTGAAGATTCAAAATACATACAACGTACTAAAATGCGAAAGTTATACACTACAAAATTGATAAATAGGCCTGAAATGAAATTCTATCTTGTTATTGATTATAGGTTGCCCAGCACGTGACCAAAATCTACCCTGGCGGAGATCCAAAATGACGGAGATCCAAAACTCGTTCCCGTTTGTCTCTAATGTTTCCATTAAGACAGTATTGCCTTGATTTTCTAATATTTACAATGATAGACAGTAAATTTCACTTTCCACCCACATTTACTTCCAACCTTTTCTTTTGAACCAGAAACAAAAATGATATACGTTTAAAACACATGACATCATCCACCCTTGTCAAATGTAATAGCATGATCACTTCAATTGAAATGCCTTCTTATCCCAACGTTACTTTATTTCTTTGCTACATTAGCGAACACTGAACTACTGCTCGTACTCTAGATATGACAATCAACCACAAAATTCCCTAAACCAGATAACATTAAACATAATCCAAAAAATCATGTGTCAGTTCACGAGTTTGCTCACAGAGCACTTTGATTATCCTTGGCACCAAGGTTTGCTTATGGGATTCTTTAGTTCCTCTGTTCATTTTGATCTTATTGGGCGAAGGGTTATGGGTTTCGCAACTTTTACTCTGCGCTCGTAAGGGAAGGATCGTGATGAGTTTCAGAGCGGGTATAATGTCTGATGTTGTGGACGTGCACTGAAATGGTGGAGATCCGCGTCATAGCACGTCGAATGTCTCTGTTATGCTTCTTCCTGTATGTAGGTCCCCAGTCTTGGCGATGTTAACTTTGTCGCATTTACAGGGAAGTCTTTAGAACATTCTGTTTACTTAATTCATTAGAGCTAATGACGTCTTTTAGCAGCTCTAAGTGGACAAGTGCCTGAGTCTTTGTCTTACAGTGCGCGCGCCTTGATGTTGTAATGGGTCGACATTATACCCCTTTTTTTCTTCGTATTAACGGTTTTGTGGTCGGCACAAAAGAATCGAAGGTACTGAAAAGCCGAGCAAAATTTTGGAACTTGCTTGA